TGGGGGGGGGGGCTTAGTTACAGGCTCTAAACTTTAGTTTATTTTGGACACTAAAGTTTTCCGGTTCAGGTCCCGAGGTTTTGTGTCAGGAATAACTGCTAAAATGTACACAAAATTTAAAACAAATATTTACATTAATTTACAACCGTTCTTGAGTGCCTTAAATGGCTAAATTGTCGAATGAAACGTAGCAACGTTGCAAATGTAATGAAGCCCCTTTAGCGTTCACTTTTTTGTTTTTAGAATCGAGTCTCATGGTGAAATATAACTTCAAACCTCTTCTCTGATAGATCTTGATGTGACTTAGGTAGTTTATTCCGAACGTTGCGCATTTTACCTACAACGCTTCAAGAGTGAATTTCGATTAGTATAGGGGCCTGTGAACAGTAAGTAACATATCCCGATTTTTCAATCTGTCCTCCCATGTTTCATTCCTCATGAAAACTACATGCAGCTTGACCATCTCTGCTTACCATCATGATCATTTGAAGAGGATTTGTTCATCATTGGATTGGCCGTCCGAATTTCCTCAAAGCGTCAGCCCGTCAGAACAGAGACTTCTTTTTTTGCCGTTGGTCAATTCGTAAACAGCAATAACCTCTTGAGGAAAAATGTTCTAATTGCATTCCAATATTCACTTTGTTCGATCTGAGTAATTTTTTTCTCTTTCAAGCACCTCATTTTTCCGCTTCCTCGAGACTTACGACTCGGTGAGTGGGAGGTTGAATCAGTGAAATTGGTGCGTTTTCGTCTGCTAAACTGCGCGATGAAAACTGTGGTAGTTGATATCATTTTGAATACTGTACACGGAGGAAATAATTTGGCACTTTCCGTTCAAGAAACCGAAGTTTTCTATCATTAGTACAGAACTTCGGTTCGCAGTTATTGAAAGTTTCGTTGGCCACGTTAGGACTTATCTGGATAGGAGTTTTGTCACGTCATGAAACCCTGGTAAAAATTGGCAGTAAAATCTGTGTTCCAAAATACCATAGACCTACAGCCGGCTGTAAGATTTCCAATAGCTTCTATAGCCGGCAACACAATTTCTTATAGCCTTTTATAGCCGATGGCGATTAAGCAACAGCCTGGCGATAAAGTGTATGCTAAACGTTACTAATTACGGATGCTAGGACTTACCGTTAGTTTTTGGACTACTGCTCTCTTTTTGGGTCGCAGTATCTTGATTTAATTTGCGAGGAAAGCTCCGTACTTTTGAAGGATGCCTGCCATTTCTAATATGTTGGAGCGCCTTCAATTTCGTATGATACTGTGCAATACCTCTGGTGTGAAATAGTTGCTTCAAGCGGCGCGGCACGGCGCGGCGGGCGGGCGGGCAGGCAGCGCTGAACGCGCATTGGCGCCTACAAACCTAACAGGGATACTTCACGCATTGCGCAATGCGTGAAGTATCCCTGTTAGGTTTGTAGGCGCCAGTACGCCGCCGTTCCGCTTTGTGTTAGGCTCTAATATTTAATCTCGCGGAGTCAGCGTTTTTCAACTCATGACTTTGAAATGTTTGCACAGTCTGTATGGATTACTCTCATTTTAATTGATGAAAAAAATATGTAGTAGAGGAAAATATAATGTGCGTTTTGTAAATATTAAGGTGATTCCGTAAAAACTTAAGGATTTACAAAGCACAAGAATTTCTGCACAAATTCTAATAGCCTTTTATAGACGATGGCGAAAAAGCAATAGCCAGGCGATAAAGTGTAAAGCCCGGCGATAGAACTATAGCCCGGCTGTATACTTTTTTATCGCTTCGTGTAGCCCGGCCGTATGATTTTTTCCACTTTCTACAGCCAGCTATATATATGATTTTCTATCGCCCTCTTCAGTCGGCTACAAGAACTCCTATGGTATTTTCAAACGCAGCTCCTATCACCAATTTTTACCGGGGAGGGTTTACCGCTATGTCTAAGTCTTCAAGCTTTCCTGTGTGTATTTTCAAGTCATTCAGGTGTTGAAATGGAATATCGACGGTGTAAGTCGGCAATCACATAACTCGGTTTGCGACGTCGTAGATTTCCTGTCATACTTTATTTTTTAATCAGAAAACTACTCAACGGCAATTCTTTAAAACTGCAGTGATTTTTCTTCTCTGTGCGAAGAAAATTCTGCATAAATTTCAGGGAATGCTGTCAATTTGTTCTCCTTTAAATAAATAATACAGAGGCGGAGATTTTCAGACACCGCAAACGAGATATGTGATTTCGGACTTAAGCCGTCGATATGTCGTTTTCCACCATGGCTATCGTGGCTAAATGGAATGGACACGTTATGAAATGGTTTACTTTTCTACGCTGGCGTTTAAGTCTCCACGCTTTCCTGAGTGTGCTGTTCTGATGATTTCCAATTGAAAAATCGGAATTTCCTTTTACAGGTAGACGTATTACTTACCTCCCCCTTCAACAATATCAAACTGTAAAAAATTAAAAAGATAAAAAAAAAAAAAAAAAAAAAAAAAAAAAAAAACAACAACTTGGTTTTCTTTCATTCTCACGGATACACTTATCGTTCCTCTCCGTTATACCTATACATTTTTCTATCCCCTTTTTTCCTTCCTTTCATTTTTGCTGTAGTGGCGCACAGTGGATCGAGTCAATCAGAGAGGTTGGGCATGAAATTTTGAATAAAAATTGCGAATTTTGATGTCTAATTCATCACATTTTAGATTTTAAGAGGTGTTTCTGGAAGAAAAGTTCACGAGGAAGCCAATGGAACCACTTATAAAACCTTAAAATTTCGTATGAATGAATTTTTTAAGCTTCCAAAGTTTCCGAATTTTATCCAACCTCTCTCACTGACTCGATCCACTGTGTGGCGTCTGGTGCAGCTACTCTTCAAGCGCTACCCTTAGGTCGGCCGTTAAGCCATTGACCTATAGCTTGAACCTATTTGAGTTCAATAATATCGATGGCCGAAGTACGAAACCACTCAACTCCGTTTGCGACGTAGCAGACTTCCGGTCACTCATTCTTATTTCTTCGGAAGACTAGCCGACGTAATTTCTTGAGGACCTCCTTGATTTTGCTCCTCTATTAGCAGATTACATATATTTCAAGCCATTAACTAGGCTTGTTATTTTTCGAAGAAAATAAAATAGGAGTAGAAATTTTGAAAGACCGCGATGGAAATACGTGGTTTCGCACTTTGGCCATCGAAAGGCTGCCTCAAAATGCAGGGTTGCCACCAAATCTAGGAAATGAAATTCCCTGACACTTTTTGCTTAAATTCCCTGAAAATTGAACAAAATGCCAGATTATTAAAAACACATAGTTAGAAACTGTTTTTAGGCAAAATTTGATGTTCGAAACGTCAAACCCACTCGAGAGAGCAAATGAAGCTGACTTGACAATTTTTCCCGGATATTTTCGTCATTTTCCCTGACATTTCCTGGTATTCCCTGACTAAGGCAACCCTGAAAATAGAAGAAATACGTCCAGCTCTGTATGTAGACGTCTACGTTTTCTGTTGTGTCTCGAAAATCACCTATCTTGTTAAACATGGCACCTGGCACCTCTATTTTCTGTAGCAATTATAAACGCTTAATGGACTATTTTCAGAGGTACTGATGTAAAATATCGAGGGGGGGAAAAGAGCATGGTGAAAAAAATAACAGAGGCGTGATAAATAAGTCCTGCAGTCATCATTTGAGGGTAGTATTTCCTTGATAATTTGATAAAATGACATTTATCCTGAGATTAAAATTAATGAACACACAAGAGGGTAACAAAAGGATTTTCGAAAAAGTTCAACTCATTAAAATGTTCAAATATATTCCCGTTTTATTTGCAATACCACACAGAAATTATTTCAAAAACTAAATAATAATTTACATCAGAAAACAAAGAAAATCAATGATCAATGGAAATACAATAAATTCATCTCAATATACATGCCTGATGCGTCCAAAAATACGACTTTCCTTTGATGTCACACAAATGGTACAGTCATTCAAAATAATTTAACAGCTAAACCTACTTGTTTCAATGATTAGGGATAAAATACATGCATATGCTACTTACATGCAAGTCTTTGGTTTTCATTATTGCAAAGTTTTTTTATATTACTTCTCCATCTGGGATTGAGATGACAAATATACATTGATTTCGTAAGGTAAAGGGATTGGTGAATTTTTTGCTGAAGAAAAAAAAATTAAAACTCTGAATACAGCTCATTTCATAAATACAAAAACTACGTCATAAAAAAATTGGAAAGGTAAATGGCTATTATCATTGTATATATATAGAGAAAAATTTAAAATCTTCAATTTTAAGCATTATTTTTTTTAAAACCATGTACTTGCTCAAAATTTAAAAAACAAATCTGGAGCTCCAAAATATTCGAGCAACTTCAGCAATGTGATGCAATGAAAAAAAAAAACAAGCAGGAAAAGTTAAAATTCACTTAAAATACTATGGAATGGAACATTGTGATGATTGGTAAGTAAAACCCGCTTTCACAGTCAATGACTGATTAAGGAATGGTACAAAGATTATTAGAATGATTTTTAGAATGCATGAAAGGTACAAATAAAAAAGGAGAAAATCCAAAAGTTCAGGATTTAAGGAACATTAATCCCTTGGAGGTAGTAAAAATATAAGCTGCAACAAAACTTATAGGTCTTTTTTACATCCATCCATTTCAATGGTTTGGGTTGAGAGGACTAATGAGGAGAACTTGGAGAATTTTAAGTCTTGATATAAAACAGTCGACTGACTTGAAAACCCCTTAGGTATTCATCACTAAGATCTGATCGATTCTCTATCATTTTTCTCGATTCCAATTGAGGAACTACTGTCTTGTTGCATGTGGGAAAAAAATACAAACTTTAGAAACAACTTCAAAGAGAATAGCTATTTCTTAACTTATTGTAAGTAAGAGAATAGACGTCATTTATAAGCTGAGAATTTTTTTTTTCTGATTCCTTAAAATTTTGGAAAAAATTTGGCTTGGTTTCCTTTGGTTTACAAGATTCGAACTTTAACTAAATCCATACAACATAAAACAAAAGACAATTCTATAGCTGCACTGAACTACCGTCAACAATAATAATACATGGAAAAAAACACAAAATGTAAAATTTGAGGTAAAATTACCGACTCTGTTGATAACTGATTGTCAACATTAAATTCTCTGAGAATAAAAATAAACTAACTGGCGAGAAACTGTATTTTTAGGAATGTAGTATTTCAATTTAAGTTTCACAGGGATCAATAAGGAACGAGTTCACTGATTATCTTGCAAGGTTACAGATTATATTACAAAAACATGCGTGGCATATGAGTAAAGACAAAAACTTTAAACCACAGCAGCTAAAAAAATACTCCTAAGGAATCAAAACTGACATTTTTTTTTGTTTTATTTTATGCACTTGGACATTGCTTTTAGATCTTACTTTGGTAACCGTTTTGATCAAAAGTAAGGATAAATATTGAAATGATACTGAATTTAGTCAGAATGAAAAAAAAATTGCAAAAATAAAAAATAGAACTCTCTGTTGGTTTGACAAAACGAGACTGTACCATTTTTCAAATCCCAAAGTATGGACTGGATTGAATCCATTAATCCATAATTGAATCTATTTTACAAAAAAATGAATTAATAGTAAAACATAAATAAATAAATAAATAAATAAATAAAACATACAAGCTACAATATGTGTCTGTGGAGAAAAATTTCTGATGACATTGCTTTAACTTAATTTAAGAGTATAAAGAATATAAATATAAATCTATGATCAATAAATAAATGATTACTATTCATACATCTGCAAGCTAAGCACGCATAAATCCAAACACCTCCAAAATTGAAGAAAAAAAAGAGAGGAAAGTATACAAATGAAATTAAAACCTAAAAATAATGCTAAATAAATAAGTCTTTGCAGTGAACAAAAATGCTCAGCACTTCTTGCCCAGAAAAGTAGGAAAAACTAATAGTTAATAGGTACAGAAATGCCGAAGAGAAAAACTCAAGAGAAGAAAAAACAAAAAATAGAAATTGAAAAAATACCAAAGAAAAATGCCAACAATCTGCGCACATTTTGTACAAAGTATGGAAGGATGACATAGCTCATAAAAAATAAATGCATAAAAGGTTCTGAATGGCCTAGCATAGGACAGAGGGCAATTCATACACTACATACGCCTGCTCTAATTTTCCTGAACCTGTTCTTGAGGATAAACCTGACTAAGAAACATAGGCATCTCGTTTTTACCGGGCGCTGATTGTAGAAATTGACTTATACATGGCACCAGCTGATAGTCTTGGAAAAGAGCAATTGTCCTTAAAATAAGAATAATAGCACAATACTTATACAATGAATTTGTTATCCTCAAAAATTTATGGAAAAATTATACTTAGAGGCACATGATTATAAGTGAAAACAAATAAGAATATTTTTGACTTAAACATGTAATCATACAAAATCCTGATCAATTATGCATGTTCTTTAGTACCTATTTCTCATTAAAAACAAAGAAGGTTTATTTAAAGGAAACTTCATAACAAATATCGTCTTTTATTTTTTCACCAAACATACCTCTGAGAGTTGAAAAAGCTGGTTTGTTGCACCTTCATGAAAAAAGGAAATACCTAAGTAAATTGTAAAAGGTTTTATGATAAAACCTCTGCAGTCATCCTTCATATTTGAGTGCTAATAAGAAGGGAAAGGAAAAATAGGGTACAGGGAGAAGGTACATGAGTAAACTTAAGATGGAATGAGGTCCGTGGTGTATGAGAGGAATCTTGATTTGAGGAATTCTTTGGCAGGTTCATAATACCTCCGCCTGATCATGATCATTTCTGGCGCCCGTCTCAGCATTGCCAGAACTTCATAGTCTGTCTCCAAGATGATGACCACCATGAGAAACAAGAAGAGGAGAACAATTAATATCGATGGAATAACCACTCGAAGGAATTTGAGGATCTTGCTGCCTTTGGGAGCAGATGATATGTGGAAGCGGAAGGCGCTAGTTGCATTCTTGTTCCCACGGGAAACAGGCGTCTGACTTCGACTAGACCTGTGTGACTGCGAAGCTAGTTCTGAGGAGGACTGATCCATTCCATCACGATAATAGTAGTCGCCAAAATTAGACTCGCCATCTTTGGCTAAAAAGAGAAAAACAGTGATTTAAGAGTTAGATAAGGTTCACAAATTACCTGAAGTAGAAAATGTTGTTTGTTCCTTGAAGAAATGTCTGACTTCCTATAGAAAATAAACATAATTATACATTAAACAGGGGATTCCAGCCCGCATACTTCTTGTAACTTGAAGAAAGCTTAAGATAGAGCTTTGAAACCAAAAGTTTTACTTACTTTTACTCCTAGGGAATTGATAAAAATATATTTAGTGACCCCTTTGGAAATTATTTGGGGGCAGGGGGCACCCTCCTCCTTATACCTCGAAATTTTCAATCCATGAAAGTAAGTTACCTACAGATTTGGATTCTAATATTAAAATTGAGACTTTTTCTTCCAGACATTTTTCTCCTGAACATTCTTCCATCATTCAGAGTACTTTAGAAGAATTTTCAATCGAACATTACCATATCCAGTATAAACAATTTCAGAGACAAGAACAGATTCCAAATAAAGAAGACTAAACTTTGTTTCTTACATGTTACAGATTCATTTTCAAACCAGAGGAATGAGGGTCACCGTTACCACAAAAGCAGGCTCATAAATAAAAAAAGTTAAAAGGGAAAATTAAATGTGACTTCAAATTCGAATCCAACACAAAAAAATTACTCAAAATTCATACGGTAGATGACTCATTTACCTAATTTTTAATTGGAAGATCTTTCTCATTTATATCCTAAAAGAAATAGTGGCCCCGAACGAAAATTAAGTGAATGGGACATGTAACATTAATTCCTTGTAATATTCCATTTAAGTAGAATCCAAATCTGAAGTTGAAAGAGACCAAAATATTCAAAAACTCTGAGAGACAGGGAGTACTCTTCCCAAAAACGTCCCTCAAGAAAGGGTTTTAAGAAACTGAATAATTTCATCACATTTTTGGGGGTCAAATTAGGTATGAAAATTTCGGTTCCGAAGCTCTATTATCTTAAACCGTTTTCAAGATACTGATGGTGGAGGGATGGTCTGAACCAATCTGTGTACACTGAAAAAAACACAAAATGCACTACTAGACTTGAGTTCAAATTGATGGTACAGTAAGGGTAGGTTCACACTATCAGGAGAACTACAAAGCCAAACAGTACACAAATTATAAATCCATGCATTAAAGCTCACGTGACAATGATTTACGGACAAGTCTGAGGTTGCTATTTTTTACTTATCAAAAGAGGGACTGAACACATAAATGAAAAACTTCAAAAGAGGAAAAACTACACTATTGTTCCAGACTGCTGAAAAGTAATGCTGCAATTCAGAACAGGAGAGGTCCATGCATTAAGGCTTTTGAAGTGATGAGATTTCTCTTCATTTCGGTGTAAATAAGTGTGACCTTTCACGGAAAAAGGGACCTTAACCCAAAGAAACTCAAAATTGAGTTACAAATTCATGACCATGGAGGAGAGTTTTACAATCAGTTTGTAACGAAAAATGCTCTAAGCATGTTACGATGATTAGAAAATTGCAATTCAAATAACGTCTGAAGTAAATTCTGTTTAGAATTCAAAACTGTCATGTTCAGGGGACAAAATTACCTCTTTTAAGTGCCATTTTAGGAAATCTGTTGGCACTAAAATGGACAGACCTACAAGCAACATATTATGCGGATGCAACAGGATTTAAAAATTGAAATTTCCTAACATTTCCCGGATAAATTTTGATAAACATCCCTGACATTTGATGCTATGCAGAATGGTTAAAATCGTCACTTCTAAACCTCAGCACTCACCAATGATAGATCGAACCGTCAAACACATTCCAGAGTAAAAAGGGGTGATCCTAACGATTCTTCCCTGACACCTCCCATTTTCCACTGATTTTTTAAAATTCCCTGACTTTTTCCATTTTCCTTGACTGTGGAAACCCAGGTATTTTCCAAGAGGTCACTACAATCCAAAATCCAAAATCTAATTTCTTCAATTTGTTGTCGCTTGCCTGACAAAAGGGCGTATCTGAACACTGAGATGAGCCTGGAAATTGTAAGGACAATAGGGTTCAACAGAGTGTAGTTACACCCTTATGCCAGGCAGGTGATGACATTTCACCAGAAAATTGCTCCATTGGACTTTTGCTTAAATAAACCATTCCCTGTTGACAGTCATATAGAGGAATTAAGAAAACTTGGAGAGCAAATTAGGAACTAAAAATTACCTTTTTTATCTACGTGATTATCATGCAGATCGTGCACTTTTTCAGAGGACGTTACTCCATCAACTGTGAAGTAACAGTGAAACAAAAATCAACTAATTAAAAAACAATGAAGTATTGATTTAGACTTTAAGAAAGAGTAGATACAAGGAAACTTAAGTACATATACAAGTTGAGAATGCTATTCAATCTAAAGAAAGAGAAAGAGGAGCGAGGGGGAGAAAGGATATATTCTCTGACTAAACTTCAAAAACTGTCTCACTATTCAGTGAAAATTGGAAGAGAAAAGTTTCCCCATTGCATTTGATACGTTTCAATCAAACATTTCAACAGGTATCATGGACAGAAAAAATTCATGGTTACATTAGATTTCCTTTAACTTTTATCTTTCACTCAAATTTCAGTTAAAAAAAATCACAGAAACCTGCTGCATGATAGTTGAAATGTTGTGTTTGTCGACTGGACAAGACAGGATGAGGAGGATTGGAGTTATGTGATTGGTCAACTTTGTTAGTCATTCTCTTTGTCGTGCCTTTGACAGATGGAACCGGCAGGACTGAAGTCACCTCTTGAGGCGAAATATGCGCGACAAAGAGGACAACTGAAATAGCCGACTAATCACACAACTCCATTCCTCTTTTATCCTTTCAATAAACATAAAACTTAAAAAAACATGCTGCTGTTGTACACTCTGTTCTTTGTTTTAAAAAAATGTTCAGGCACTGAGAAAATATTTTTTGAGAACTTTTTCGAGAATTCGGTTTGATTTTAAAAGGGGGCAAAACCACACAAATCTGTCATAAAAGATCATTTACAGTGTTGTAAATATTTTATGCAATGATAAAAGTAGCTTGAAATTCCGCATCATTAAAAGGTGCCTGTGAGTACAAGATGGAGGAGAGCGAGAAGATTTTGATACAATACATTATCCAGTAGATTCTATATACTGGATGGATTTTAGGGTAGTATTACATTATCGATGGATAATAATGTATCAAGTCTCACAATTCATAAGAATCTACAATTATGGAGGTTCCATTCATAGTTTTTGGGCAGAGACTTGAGACATAATAATCGGAGGGGCTGAGAATGGATTGAAGGCATTTTTTTTTTTCTTTTTTTCTTCGCACTCAAATTTTACTGAAATCTCACAAGCTTCAGAGGTAGATATGCACTTATTATTTGTATTTTAATAGGGGTGGAGGGGGGGAGGGGGGAGGCAAATGTTATAGAAATCAGTTTTGTCTTTAATTTGTTCAAAATTCCACAAGAGCCGTGGAGAATGGAAGGAGTCGAATCTTTAGTACACCACAGACAGCTATGTAATTGAGTTGCTATGTAAATCTTCATGAAAAGTTATTAGATTTTTTTGATAACTTTAATATTTATTTGAGACCCTGGACAAAGTAAAAAAAGTTTATAGACAAATCGTACTTTCAACTCTACTCTTTGAAGAAAAACGGAAAAAAGAATTGATACCAAAAGCAAATGCATTCTTCAAAAAGAAAAAAATATCATGAACTCCTAAAGCATTGAAAAAAATGAAGCCTTGAAATGATGCAAGATAAAAAAATTATGTTTAAACATGACTTCAGTTTAAAATGATACTGTTTGGCACACTTTGCAAAACTTGTGTAGACAGCAAAATCTACACACATCAAAAGCTTGTCATGAGAGATAATAATTTAAATAATGCACATACGTACATGACAAAGAAGTGAACACATCAATCCAAAAAAAAAAGAAAATAAAAAAGACAAAAAAATAATTAGAGACTGACAAAAAAAAAAGCAGCAAAACACTAGATTGCGAATGAAACAGTGGATAGATTAGAATGAAGGTAAAAACACGACTAAAGTTGAGGTGTGCGAACAGCGGACGTGAAAACAATGGGGTGAATTTTTGTCAATTTGAGGGAGATTTCTGCTAACAGTGCATTTTGGTGGTCACAAAGAAAAACATTGACTCCCTTCAACATTAATGACTTACCTCGGGATTTTCCCGCTATTTCTTGATCCTCCGACACTGTTTCTAAGGGAAGAGTATTTTCAGGAGAGTAGGGATAATTGCCGGAGTCAAGACGTGAATCAGCGGAATAATTTGACCGAGGTAGACTGTTGTGACCTACAGGCAAAACATTTACTGAGGATTAAAACTGAGATGCACTCGCAAAAAACTACCCTCTTAAGTCATCTTGCTGAAGGATTAGAAGCACGCATTTCAAAAGCAGAATGAATTGTAGAACCCACTGGAAGGGCTTATGAAATTCCTTTAGTGTTGGTTTTTCTGTGACAAAAAGAGCTCTGAACAGCAGATACTAGTCCCTGTATTGGCCTTACATATAATCTGGAATCCTATTTTAATCCCAGCTTCCAGTGAGCTCCTCAATAACTATTCAAATAAACATTATGAATTTAACGTTTGCAGGCTTTTAAAAAGGGGAGCATAACTGTTTTAGCACCATGACACAAAGTTAATATGTACTTTCAAAATTATGTATTATTTATAATTAATTATTCAATTGACTAAATTTGCAATTCCTCAAAGAAAATTAATCCTCTGTGCACTATTCAGGGTGTGATTTACTCGAGCACTATACCCAGAACCAGGTTAAGATTCAATTTAATTGTAAGAAAAGCATTGATGTTTTTCCAGATTATGAGTTTCAAGATGTTTCAAACTCAAGTCTTTTTCACAAAATTCTATGACTTTTCCTTGATTTTTCCCTGACCTGATGAAATTCCTTGTTTCCCAGGTTTTCAAGATCTGTAGACACCCTGTTGAATTTTCTGTCCCCTAGATTTTTCCTGATTCCCTCGGACCTCTTTTCATCAAAAGAGGCACAAATATAAATACAGCTCAGCACTAAGAATCCATACGAATCAGTGTGGGCTTGAATTTCAAGGGGGTAAATGCACGACAAACCAGGAAAGAGCGCTGCAGGCTTGGTATTAACGCGCAAGGTTAAGGTTATGCAAAAAATTACGATTTTGCTGGAGAGTGCATGACTCTCCCAACTATATATTTTTTCTTTCTGACCAATTTCATTTCTCTGACTTTCCTGGTCACTAGATGCCCTGCTGAGAGGCTATGGTAAGTCTCTTAAGAAAGCCAGGAGATAAAAGAAATAGAAATAGAGACACGAGCAAGAAAAGTCAGGATAAAATGTGATAAAAGATTAAAACTCAATGAAGAACTGAAAATCTTCTTTTTTCAGGCTATCAAAATTCCGTTAGTTTTGCTTCCAGATTTATAAATGTTGACGCCTGACTTTTTGGAGCGTATTCAACCAAATTAAACACCCTTTCTTTTAAAAGACTTTCTCAAAGAATGGAGAACAAACATTTCTAACGAACTCCTTTTAAAAAATTAAACAGGAAGACAAGTTTTTAAACACAGCAATCCAGAAATATGTTTCACGGTTTCGCCACCTATTTCTAGAGACTTTCACAAGCATTACACTCCTTTTCTTGGCTTGAAGATTGTTTATATAAAAAAATGAATAAATTAGAATAATAATTATAGAAGGAAAGAAAATTACTCTAAATACCATGCTCAGATCAGCAAACGAGATTAGTAGGTTAATCATCGCTAAAGCTAGCAATCCAAGATTGTGAAATGACTGAACGAATGAACAGAGCTGTCTGCCCCATACATTACAAAGATCGAATTTTTCATAGAAAATGCAAAAAAAAAGAGTAGAGAGAGGAGTGAGAGAAAAAAGAGGGGAGGAAAAACTTATTTCAAACAAACCGACATTCAGGACTTAATGATGAAAAAAAAAAGTCGATAGCCTTAAACTGAAAGTAGACGATAGATTGAGAAAAAAAATGATTGGAAAAAACAATTCTATGGGAAAATTGATGGTAAATATTCTTAATGAAGTACCAAGTTCAGCAATCACAGGAGTAGATGGAGTTGCAGGGACACTGGATGCCTTCCGACGAAGTGAACCAACTCTATTGATAGTAGGTTCTTCGCGGCGTGTTGGAGTTGAGTCTTCTAGGATTTCGCGCTCAACACGACCACTGTATTTAAACTTGGTTCCAAACGAGAATATACTCCCTCCAGTTACAACATGTGGGGCATCAGAGCTAGATGGTAAGCTGTGGAGGAAAGTAAATTCACTGTGAGCTGAAATAATACATGGAGAAGGAAGGACATTCTTACAGTAAGATCTCAAAGTGTCGGATCGCGATTTAATGGATTTCATGCGATTTAACGGATTTGGCCTCCGGTCCCAGGAAATCCGCTGAATGGTCTTGCTGTAATTAGTTGTATCACATATGTATTGTTTGGCAGAAACTTTACATTAAAATTGATCAATGATATTTTCTATTTGATATGGTATCTGATTTTTAGCGACAAGAGGATATGTTTTCTTAGCAAAGATTTGACTCAATACAGAGTAAAGTGTGTCTCATTTTTATACCAATTTCTAAAATTCAAGGAGGTAAACGACACAAGCCCCATGTTTGCTTAAAAATAGCATCTCAGAAAAAAGGAGGAAAAAATTTTACACTTACGTAAAGAATAACATCTGTTCTACTGCACAGCGCCAAACATGTTTACAAGATGCGCCTGTGGCACATTTAAACCCAACTGTCTGCTTCTTCTAAAATACAAATAGGAACTTGTTAAAAGTTTGAAGCAAAATAGAAAGAGGATACATGAAAAATCAAAGTTCCTTATGAAAAGATTAAGTTAGCTTTAAAAGCTCGAGAAATTAATCATCTGAAAATCAAATTTCTTTCAACTGCCATGTAGTTTTCATATTCTGAAATAGTTTTAGATAATCTTTTTTTCAATTTGCGATCTAATGCATTTATGATTCCATGATCAGGTAGTTTCTGTACCTCTCAAAACAAGGTCTACCTCTTTTGGAAATACTCAAAAAAGTAGATATAACTTTTCAACTTTGTTATCGATAAACAAACCAATAAACAAAAATAATCATAGATTCATAGTCAAAAGGCGTAGGTGATGATAGAGAAATATATGAGCCAAAACTCGATTATTGTTTCAACATTTCAAATACATACTTGAGGAAAGATTAATAATTTTGCACAGCAAAATAGAAAAAGAGAGCAGAAAGAGGATTAAAAGTACAAAATCTTACCTTGGTCCTGGGATCCTTTTTTTTAGGTGAGGACATGGAAAGAAAAGCACAATGATTAGAGGAGGACAAGGTAAAAAGGTTGCAAATCAAGTATGAATGCACACAAAGCTACAAGTAAAGCGTTTGTTAGTAATAACTACTTCTGTCAAGGAATTTAGCTTTTTTATTCCTACTGAAATCTACTTTTTTTTACTCAGCCGAACGAATGAAGGATTTCACACATTGACACTAAAAAGATTAAGCAAGGAGCAAGAGGTCTACATTTGTAAGCAAAACATACATTAAAAGCACATAAATCGCTTCGTGCAAAATGCAGATCACAATTGAAACTTCTGAAAATCTTTGATCATGTTTTATTTTCTTCAGGTAAAACTATTGACATGTTTCCTCGCAATTTTTTAAGAGTTTTAAAATAAAAAAGTAGAGAAGAAAATGTACAGAAAGGTTGGTTTTCCTTTAGAATAATATAACATGAACAGAAACTCAAAATTTTGCAATCTAAGACGCATAATTTTTTTTTACTTAAGCCATCAGTACTCTGTGGAACTGGGTATTGAGTCTTGGTTGGATACGGGATAGATAACAATGTATTTAAAAAATAGGTGCTTTGAGATCAATTAGTTGGTAGATAGTAAATACTTGTGTAATACATAAAAAAAATTAACTTGAAGAGCATATTTTCAACTTAAATTAAAAAAAAGGGTAAGAATACGAAACAACAAGCACGTTTACCAACGCACCCTCACTTACAGACATATATAAAAGTCAGTCATAACATTTTGATGGCAGTAATACTTGAATGTCATGAAAAAAGATAAAAGAGGGGTTTTTTTTTCTGGATTGAAGATCGAATTTTGAGCAAAGAAAACTGTTAAGTTAATAAAATAAACAAAGCCAGGACAAAAAAAATTAAGTAAGTAAACTATTAGACTCTACAGTGATCATAAATAGGTTAATAAACTTTCTTAACAACTCACTTCATTATATGTTAAGTGCACTATGAACATTTTGCCTTCATAGTTAATTTTTTGCACTTCTGTCCAACGGAAATGGTTTGTTTTTCGGCTGCCTTGGAAGGTCAAGATCCCAAGATGATTGATACCAAGATAAAGTTCACTGCCACGCTGATCCTGGGAAATTCAATTTTAGACAAATTAAAATTAAGTATGTATTGTGCGAGGAACTGCAAAGATGCTTTAAAATGTATCCCACTCCCAATTAATGCTGCATGTCTTGAGAAAAAAACCCTACGCCCATGTGAAAATAAGAATATATGATTAAAGTAAACGCAGTAAGAAATATTGAACTGTGTTGTCTCATTAATACACTTTTCAATGACTGAGGGTACTTCACAAGTTACTTCAGTTTATTCATCAATATAATGGTCACCAAAGAAGTAAGTTTAGGCATTTATTTCATTGTGGAGAGACTAAAAATTATAAATCACACCTGTAAAGAGGGCTTGATTTCTTATACCTAAAAATCTTTCTGGAGTCCGATTTTCTTTAGCAATTCGGACCACTTCCCGATAAAATATTCTTGTTCAGCACACAATGCCATGACAAAATGGGATGTGCATCACGCTGCATCTCAATTGTTGTCTTTTTGCCTCTTTTGCGAGAAATCATTGACTTGGTAGAGGGAGATAACCCTTTTATTAATTTATCAAAAGAAACGAATTAGAAAGAGAATCTGAAAGGTTCCATTAGGATTTGCTGGACATTTAATCTGTGGTATGCATGGCATCATGGAGTTACCATTGCAAAAAGTTGCCATTGAGAAAACGGCACTGTTATTCTTTATATATTTGCTGCAAAATTAAAAGTAGTGCGAATATTTCTGAGTTACTTGCAGTGTATGGTGATATGGTTCAAGAACTTTTATTACGTTTGTGTATGGTGTTATCTCTTTGAGGAAGGTCGCAGAGGCGTACATGATGCCTATTAGTGTGGGCATCTTGATCATACTCGTAAACAAAATTTAAAATATTTTGCTTCAAGGTGAAACAATCTCTTTTAAAGACTGTAAAATTTTAATAGAAAAGCTTGAATGGACCACTAGATAAGGTACGAATTTCAGCATTCTGATACATGTTTCTTAACCAAAGTTTTACGTAAAACACGATGCACACAACGAAAATTACCGAAATTAACTCCTTACGAAGATATTTAATGATTCTTAATGCGTGAATTCAAACCACCCGCTCATGAAAACTCAATGCTCTACGTGATTCACATCGCGCGCTAAACGTTATCATGACAGTCTCTGCGATATAAAAATCTGGCAACCTCAATCTTGACGCTTTGGCTCAGTTTTGGCAAATTGCTAATAGTTTGAACAACACATGATGGGAGATGAACATTGCTCGATTGAGAAGCTTGCTGAAACCATTGTAGTGGGCGATTTGACTCACGTAGAGTTTTGAGTTTCTTGTGAGCGGGCAGTTCAAATTCCTCGTTACCAATGTGAAATAAAAACGTTAATATCTTCGTTAGGAGTTGGTTTCCGTAATTTTCGTTGTGTGAATCGTTTTCTATGTGAAATTCTGGTTAAGAAACATGTATCGGATCGCTTAAATTCGTACCTTGTCTAGTGGTCCACTGGGGAGAGAGAGTGCTCAATAAATTTCTTGTTTGGTGGACAGAACTCACTTGGAGTTCCTTGAGTAAAAACCAATTTCCTTACTAACTATTGGTTCCGATTTCAAAAATTACAGCTTTCTGGGAAATTGCGGATAAAAAGAACTAGAAACTTTTCATACATTTAATGTTCCATTTGTAGTTTCTGAAATACCAACTATATAAACTTATTTTAGGATTGTTCCTATAGGTATGCAAGATGTGCCTGAAAATTTAATTCATAAAAGGGCCTTACTTTTTCTTGCTTTCAATAAAATTATGCAGATGAAAAGTTAGCCTCAAATCTCACCTTCACTGGGTGCGGGTCAACGCCGTATGTATCCAAGGAGCATGCTTTGCGAAGAAAGTTGCTTTCAGTCTGAGTTGGTGACTGTCCTCTGAGCTGAGTTTGATGGATTTCCATAATTTTCTCCTCTACTTGTTCTGACTGCTTTAATAATATTTTTAGATCACTTACATAATTACCGACATGCTCTTCAGGATCGTAATCTCCAAGTTCCCCTGAAAATCAAACAGAGTTAAAGGTGTTCTAGCAAAATCTCTTAGCAAAAAAAACAAAGAGAAGAATAAAAAAAAAAATAAATTGATAAAATTAAGTTTCTGTTGTAGATAAGACTCCGATAATACAAGGTGGCCACAGAAATTTAGAATTAAAATACTTTGACTTTCCTCGGTTATTTCTGACCGGCTTTGAGGAAATGTACCAACTTAAAGGACAGTATTTAGGAGATAAAAATTCTAATTTTAAGAATTTCTGATTCAGTTCCAAGATAAAATTAAGCCAGAGGAGGCAACGACTAAAAAAGTACCAATCCCCTGAAATAAACTTTTCCTTGTTCTCCTGGTAATTCTTTCTCTTTTACCTAACTTTTATAGTTTTCCTCAATCCTTCCAAGAATCCTCTCAAATGTGTAAGCAAGTTACATTTCATAGCATGCATTTTATACCTTGAACCACATAAGCTGCGAGTAAAGCAGCCTCATTGGGAGCACAATAAAGGCGTCCATGTAGAAGGTCCCTCTTCAGCTGTAAGTAAATCTGGTAGCGAGTGATTTCTTCTTTCAATCGAAAAGGGTCAGGCGGATAGAATTTCACCCGGAAACTGAGGAGAATAGGATCCATATCTGAGGAGGAAAGCAAATTTATTATGAGCATGGATGAAACCTCAAAAGTTTGTTGAATTTCATAATTAATGGCTTTTGTGTTCTTTTGAAACCCGCATTTTCAAGCAATAGACACAAACAGTGACGATTCTACAAGTTGGTGCCACTGTTTATCCTCCATTCAAATCCATTAAAAGTATCGATTCTTGGTGCAATTGTTTTACACACATTTAATTGGAGGAAAAACAGCATTGCCAACTTTCGAGAATCCTCACTTCACAAACAGGAACAAGGTACACTATTAAGGACCAGAATATACATTGTCTGATCTAATTTTTTAGAGGAGTAGAATGGATGCACTAAAAATTTCCAAATACAACTTATAGGTGAAAAAATAACAGTTTTCAGCTACAACAATTCACAGCCCCTGTTACTAAAAACCTTGAGTATCTCTAGTCAATTGAGGCACTGGATGCGAAAAGGGCACTTCTCGGTTGAAGTATTTCAGAGTTTCCTCTCATATTTCATTCACTGTGAGGAAAGTGAATGCGTCCTTTTCATTAAAAAAATTACTGAATGTTCCTCATAATTCTATAATTTTCTATGGAAAGAATTTTGGAAAAATGACCCATTAGAGTCGTCTCCAAGGGATTAATTATCAACAGAGATTCTGAAACACCGCAATCCAGAAGTGCCCTTTTCGCATCCAGTGCCTCAATGACAGCACTGAACTACTTTCGGTATTTTTCAAGTACTTTCAGTATGTTTTACGATGGAAGAGTTTTCCTGTTGAGTGATTTTTCAATCGACTTGATTAGAGGTTTCACTGGCAAGTGTGATGTACTGATGAAGTCTAAAGAGACCCAAAACGTTATAGCTCTCTTGGCGTGACCTCAACGACCCACAACCCTATGCCAATGCCCACTGCCTGAGCGAGCACTCTCCCCTTCAATTTTGTACTGGTACTCATTAGAGCTCAAAATTTTTGAACTTTTTGACTTCTTTTCCCTGCACAATAGTGTGGACCCAGCACTATTTTGACACCTTGTAACATCTTGAGCTAATTTCAGATTGGATTAGTGGAATTTTGGCAATTGTTGAAGCCTGACAACTCTCTCTACCATTGTCAGCCTAGCCTCATTACATTTTTCTGAGCGATTAACCAACAACACAAACTAAATAAGTCAATTCATCCTTCCCTCAGAGTTTTACATACACTTATGAGTTTAAGTTCACTTTCAAAGTGAAGAAACTGTTCAGGGACTTAGACGGGAGTATGGCCCACTTCATTGGGCTTACACTACTATATCTTGTACAAGGCTCTGCTCAACAGCCCTAAAGGAAGTGTTGATTGGCTTGATGTGTAAGAATGTGAGACAATAACTAGCAAGATAAAGGTATACATACATATGTTATACATTCAGATTTATTTAGTTAATAATAATGATGGCTGCAAGTAAAAAGTTTACCTTTCACTTGTTTCAAGACAGCCTTAGTCTGGTCAAGCCAATGCTGAAACAAAACAGTACGCATAAAATTAGATTCTTTCAATTTTTTATTATTAATATTGATTCTATTAAAGTCTGAACCAAACTGCCTTGCTTCACTTGAGACCACATTTTGATCACATTCATCATTCAGATAGAACCTCCTCTTTTGATTTTACTTTCTAGCTCTTAATTATATTTTTTTCTTTCTTTAAGTGAAAGCAAAAGTCTGTAAAGCTTCAGTATTCCATCATTGAGTGGTAAAAAACCGTTTTAGATACATTATTTGAATTAGAGTATGGAAATTTCTTAGCTTAATCTTAATAGATAATGCATTGGCAAAAAAGATATCTATTAAATTTTATTCACAAAAAATTTATCGAGGGAGAAAGTGATGTTTCTGTGTTTAATACATTTGACTTATGGTTTTGGCGATGTACCATTCATCTGTCTATCATACTTTATCTCCAAAGTTTCAAGTGTTTCTCCATGCTTCTTAGAAGCTTCCATTGCGCCGGATTATCAGTAGGATACTTCAAAAGACATAATAACTTGAGAGGAGGTTAGGAAATAAAAGAGCCTATTACCTTGGAACACATAAGAGTGTTGATTAATTATTCATTCACAACTTTATGAGCACGCATTTTGCACCAGGCTTGAATACTCAAATGAAAGAACTTCAACTTTCAGTGATGGAAAGAAGAAAACCTTGAGCCTCCTCTTCAAAAACGAAGCTCATTTTCTTGGATTTTATTCCTCAATGAAAAGCTAGTTTTCAATTCATTTCAATTCTGTATACAGAGGGTTTATAAAAATAGAAAGTTGAACTTTACTTACCCGTTGTTTGTTTGAGTCGACATAACGCAAGCCAAAATAGTCTTTCTCCACAAGATTCAGCTGCTCACATACATAATCCAACAAATATTTGCCTTTGTGCTGGGCCTAAAAAAAAAAGTTGCGAATAAAATATTCCAATTTTAAATAGACATAATGTTGACAAAGTTGAGGCTACTACAAAGTTTTCTTTCATGTAATTTTCAGAGAATTAACGAATCAAGAAGACAAGTGTGTTTTTGTTTTTCATAAAATCCACTTTCAGCTGAGAGGAAAATTAGAAAAGTTGCTGAAAATATAACTCAATTTGATTTGGAAAAATATCAGGCAAAAATAGTTTATGGTGCTCTTTGTGGAATTGGATAATGAGGACACCACTGATTGAGGGGCCCCAATTGGACCACTTCTTTAATCAAGTGCAAAAAACTCAAAAATTTGATAATGTAGGATCCTTATCATAATTTACAAGGTTAACTTGACCCTACATGGAGTTTGCAAATGCAGATAGAACAAACATATTTGAGCTGAGAAAAATCAATATGTTAAGAGTGACTTAGGTAAATTCCTAGTTTAGTGGTAGGAAATAAGCGTGGCAGGCTGTAAAATACCCTTTGATAATGTTAGGAGTAAAACTCCATACAATTGATGAACTAGTCAAAGTAAAAAGAATACTCTAATTATCCATAACAAAAGATAAAAATGACAAAAGAACTGAATACAATTGTGGGTTATTTTTCTTACAATCGTTGCGCCGAGGGGTGGCCAACCGCTTCCCACAGGGACATATCAATGCTTCTCACTTCCGACTTGGGCTAACAAAATTGATGACATAGGAAAGGCTTTTACAGGTTTTTCTACTTGTAAACAAGAGTTAAATATCATAATTTAATAAACAACCATTGTTCATTGAAAGCGGAACTGCGATCCATATGTAACTAGCCTTTTAGCAATCTTGAAATTTTGAGTTCCACTTGCTAGTATCTCTATAGTATATATAGACTTGAGACAGCAGCTAAAGATAGGCAAATTAGAGGGCAAATATGTGGTTTTGAATAGATGTTTTCATAAAAAAATTGGCCAACGAAGACTTCGAAAAATATGCCACACTTGAGAACACGAAGAGAGCTGTCAAATATGTTGACCTTATCAGCCTCAGAGTGAAAAATATACTAAGCTCTTGGCACGTACTAAAGTTTTATTGATAAAAGTTGAACATTTTTACCTTAAAATCACACTCTAAAATTTCTGTATCGTCCAGAAGACGTACGGTGCACTTATAAACGGCATTAACATCGTTTCTGCTTCCGAATTTTATCATGATGGCAGAGACTCAAGTCACTTCACAACTAACAAATTAATATGAGGCGCACGCTCATGAATATTTCAGATGAGTAAGAACAAGTAAGAAAACGTAAAAAATTCAGTATTTTGCGGCTACACTTGAATATTCATGACAAATATCACACTTTTAGTCGGAGGAGGCAGCAAAGCGTCATTCGTAGGAAAAACAAAGATGAAAACAAAGCAAAGCACAACACAGCTGCTCCTTGACAGTTCGCAAGTTGTCTCATTTTTGAAGTACAAATAACTAAGATCCTACTTCATCATTGCTTCATCTCGGTGTCTCAAAAACTCATTAATTCTAAGATTCAAGTTTCATAATTCTGAGATTTAAACAATTTTTACATGGTTTTAATATTCTTTTCAAAAAAGGACACTGTTTTGGATCAATAGTATTAATTTCCCTTATTTGGAAACTCATAACATCAGAAAGCCAATGTTGGTAGCCTGGTAGAACGCGCAAACTAGAGAGCTTTCAAATTTCACAACTTCTGATGCTGTTGGGCAATTATTTAAATACTCCAAAGATAATTTATAATTAGGCAAGGCAACAATAAAATTTTGATTATTAAAATTCCAATTTTGAACGTCCTTTATTTAAATTAGTAGTGAATCGATGCAACGGAAGTATGAAAAATTCTCATTTCTGATTTCATAATCTGGAAGTTGAACAAAATGCTCAGAGATAGCGCTACTTGTTCTGCGTGGTGTTTACAGCCATCTTGCACACATATGCATGTACTCACACACAAGCACGTATTTACACACATTTACGTATGCAGTGTCTGTTGTGCGGCAAGCTTTAGAAAAACGTAGTTGCCAAGTGGAGTAGCTTAGTAACTTAATTGCAGCTGTGAACTATAATTTAGTACGATCATGTCAAACCGACAACACTGCGCAACTTTGACTTTGTTTTGGAAGACGGCATTTTCGTTCAGTTGAATTGAAGCCGATTACGAGTGCGTGTTGTTACGGCGCGGAGAGCAAAGTTTTGATAAAGTACTCATAGATCATGGCAGCAACTAGTGTTGTGGTTCTCGATAGGGGAAATAACACAACTTGTACTATTAATTTACATGGTATGTACCATTTTTTACCAAATTTGTGCTACACATTTTCGTTCCTCAACTGTTAATTTCAAACTTCGCCGTGCTTGTGTGATATGCCGAGTCTATCAAACCATGTGATGCCGAGTGCTAGGTTATCCCCCAACATTTCAGTTATTATCACACTCCTTTTCACTTCTAATGCTTATTTGGATTCTGCACACACTACGAAATTGAGTTCTGATTCTGTTTTTATTTTCAGGAGCAACAGTTGTTTCTTGGAGGGTAAACAATCAGGAGCAGTTATTTGTAAGGTAAGTTTTCAATGTTTCATTAATGCTCTTACTCGAAACCTTTGCTATCAGCCTTACGTTGGTACATCAACTGTAAGATGGATCCAGAACTTCATGAGATATTTCAGAATAGAATTGAGGGTGTATGCACTTCGGCGCAAAAGCTGCACTCCGGAAGAGAAATCTAAATAGCTTTCACAGATTCTTAAGTTTCCAATGAAACATCTCAGTGTACAATCAACGAGCTTGTTCGCAATGTTATATTCAGTTAGATAATACTTTTTTTTGCAAACATCCTCCTCTTTTTAAAGCTGATCACATTCATAAGCCGTTTTCTTTCATATCAACTGTAAGTATGTTTCTTACAGCGCGAATATTTTGATGAAGACCGACTGTTGCAGCCAAATCATCCTATTATCTTTAATCAGATTGTAAGATAGGCTTTTGCCTCAACTGCCTGTATGTAGCTCATGAACATCCTCTCCACTAACATCATTTCTGACTTGGCTGTAATTTTTTTGGTGGCCAGCTACTTCCTCTCGTAAATCTACTTAAATCCGCACACTTATTACTTAGATGTCCAGATGCAAGCACAGGGAAATACAATCAGGGTCAATCAAATATTTCCCTTGCAGATTTTGCTCTGCAAACGTAGATGGCATCAGGTAAAACGTATGTAGAAAAAAAAAAAAAAAAAATATCTGACAGTACCCTCGAATGGAACCATTCCAAAAGCTTTTATCTGTGCAGCCAATTTTTTTGCACCTGCACCTAAATACTGACTTAAATGGCACTTAAAATTTAGTGGTGTCGGTTCTGTTTATATCATTATAATGCAAAGTCTTGCTGCAGCCTTTAGCTCCTAGAAAACGTTTTCCAAACTGTCCTTCTTTGAATATGGACAGTTTTGTTGCATCTTCATAGAAGTAACATAAGTATTGACAACATTGCTTTTTATTTTTCTGGAGGGATTTTTTCTCTTAAAACTAAAATTTCAAGAAAGCTAGGAGGCATATTCTTGGTTTTCAAGTATGCAGATATACCTAGCACATGAGCAGAATTTTATGTACCAGTGAACCCATTTGATAATCATTTGAGAAGTGATATCATGTACCGAATCAATCTACTTAGATATTGATGGGGCCAATCCCCATGAAATATGTTGTTGAGGGTAGTGGAGGGTCTTAGGTTTTGACAAATTTGATCAGATTTGAATCTTCGAAATTCTTTGATTTAAAAAAAAAAAATAAAAAAAAATATAAGAAAGATTTTTTTACGTATTAGTGCCGCGTTCCAGTTTTATTTTTGTTGCTTTATGCAGTCATTCACTCTCAGCTCCCGGCTCCGCTACCATTGAAGTCTTAAAAATTTCTGTGGTCCCCTCCCGATATTTTTTAGGCCTCATGAAGTTCACTTGCAGCTTCAACAATGGTTCGTATTTTCGACCAATCCTATTTCCCAGGGAAGGATTCCTCAGGCTTGATTGTACAAATTGCTATTGAATATGGCCATAAGGTTTGTTTGAAAACACAAAAGTACCTCAGTAAAGAAAAAATTGAAAAGAAACATTCACTTTATATTTGTCAACCTCCCGCCCAAGATCTTATGTGAGAGCTTTAGGCCGGCTTCCTTTAATTGCTCCATCATTGAACCGTTTTTTATGAACTCAGTCCGTCAGTACTCAAATTTATGATCCTAAAGTAATTAGTATGTCATATTTCCTACCAGCTTTGGTCCCTCCTGTACCGGGCTCTCAATTAATCGCACACGGAAAAAATTAAATTGCTGATTTAACAATTTTGTAGTTGAAATATGTGACTGCAATGTTTCAATGTAGATTTCACCATAAATAAATTCTAATTTAACTACCCCCGTGGTTAAATTAGCCCTCCACTATTGTAAAATATTCGCTTGAAACATTGCAGTTACTTTTTCAGCATTTGAATTGTTAAATCAGCAATTCATTTTTTTAAATTTCGGATTGGACTTTTCTCTAACTCTTTAGCGAAAAGAATACAAATATATTGAAATGTGAGCTCGAAATTTTCGTAAAGTAGCCATGAAACGACTTTGCGGCATTTGTTGTTCTTATATCAGAGAAGGTACCTAGGAGCTGCAGCCCACATTTTAGGATGACAACGTTGTAATATATTTCTAAAATCGAAGTATTATTTGGAAAATTGACACGGTCGCGGTAAAAATCTGTAATATTTTATTTCATCGGAACATTGTGCAATGCTGGAATTAAGTTACACATTAAGAGAAACAAGGATAGCGCCCTTAGTTAGTGTCGAATGCGACAAACACTATGCATTTCATTATCGAATGCAACTATTCGGGCCCCTAGGATGTGAGTGTTGCATACGCACGGAAGAGACGGCGCGGCGTTTCGACTGTCCAGGCACTCACCACTTTATCCGCGGCGCGGCGCCAACGGCAGGCTTCACTGCGAAGTGCGAGGATCCCAATAAGTGGCAGAGCACTTTCAACTCTTCGTTTATACTACAAAGATTCATGGTCACCAACTGTCGCATACAGGCGTAGGAGTTTTTGCTTCAGTTTTGATATCGCGAAGTACTGAGCCTAATACCTATAGCAACTTTTCACGCCTAATTGTAAGAGATGTCTTCTAAGTATAAATGAAAAATGGAAGGCACCCTGCCATTTTAAATCCTCGCAGTAAAGCTCACCGCAGTATGAAACGAACCTTTTAGTGAAATTGGACATTAAATCTTCGACTAAAACTGCAAATTTTTATGTTGATTTCTTCACATTATAAATCGTAAGAGATGCTTTTTGAAAGTAATTAACCGAAAAAACATTGAAACCACTTCTAACTCCTTTACATTGATCTGAGCCTTTGATTTTTCCGCATTATGTTTAACTCCTCTCACTGACTCGCTTTACTGAGCGCTGCTGGTGAAAGAGTGTGTGTCTGAAGTCAAAACGCCTTCACTTCCGTGCGTATGCAACACGGTCATCCATGGAGCCCGAATAGTTGCATCCAGGCGTCACATCCGGTTTAGTATCCGTCGCATGAGACACGAACTGAAACTTTGATTGTCCCTCTTCCCCTTTAACTCAATTCCAGCGTTGCCCATTGTGCCGATGAAGTGAACCATTACTGATTTTTATCGCGACATTGTCAATTTTTCAATCTTATCACAAAGTGGCCGGCCCTCGAAATCGCAAAAAATTACGTATTTGAGCATGATATGTAGTTTCATTTTACCTACTTATTATGAGTTGTCCCTTGTTTGTTTATTTTTTCTTTGAGGAAACTTATTTTGACGTGTAAATACTTAATTTTCAAAGAAAATGATGATGATTTGATGAATAATTGCTCGGAATTTGGAACCAAAACGATGGCCATTCGTCTACCGAAAAAATGAAATGCGGTAGAAAATCAGTAACATCACATACAAATGTAAACATCAGCACGCATATGATTTCCTAGGTGCGGAACAGTACTATAAAGTCTGGTAAATATATTAGTGACAATGATATTAGGTTCTGTTTCCCTTCGTAAGTGTGTGGTCTGCGGCTAGTATCACATCAAGACCTCTTGAGTGTTCGCAGTTCTAGATGAGGCATTAGAATTTACTACCCGGAGGCTGTCCCGGTGAACCAGAATATTTTCCAAATCTTCAATGGTTGTAAATTCTGCATTTTTCTTCGCAGTACTTACCTACCTATGCTCCCTTTGCTACCGAGATACTTTGGAGGCTATCTTTTCTCGAAGTAAATCCTGCCTTTAATTTTTGTTTGTTTAATTATCTCGCCTTTAAAAAATGATTTTGTGTACTAAATTGAGTTCCCTTAGATACATACATTTTTTTTAAATATTAAAAGTTGGCAAAAATGGTAACAATGACTTCAATTCATCATTTTTCGACCGTTTACTGGCATCCTAAGTACCTAAATCAGCAGTGTCCCATTCTTAACACATACGTGCTTCGCCAATTAATAATAAACCCCTCCCACTGATCAGCGATAACCTCTTTATCCATTTTGTTCGAGAGATATGATACCTACCTATGATTATTCCAATTTTTTTTCCTCCTTTCTTTAAACTTTCTTCCCCTCCCCATTAGTGCCAATCATTTGACTTAATCTCTCACCGAATGGGCTCCGTTACTCTTTTTTTCACTGTTTCTTTTTTTCTCGAACCATTTCAAGCTGATAACACCCATATCTCCCAGTATCCTCTATTCACCTTAATTGTCTGTCTCAGAGATTAGTTTGACCTCAGTGCTTTTATCTGCAATTGATACATTTGCTCCTCATTTTTTTATTACCCATTGTAAAACTGCTCGCAGCAATTACATTGAGACTTTATGATAATGGTGGCTTACGTCTCTAACAGCTCATGAACTAAAATTCCTTATCTAAAAAGTTCATCATAAATTTTAAGAACTCAACACAGGTAATCTTCGGGTCAAAGATAAATTTTAAAAAGTGCTGTATTATTTGTTTAAAATCCCATTACTGCTCTCACGTCTTTTGACAAGCTTTCAACCTTTTGGCAGGGTTAATGACGAAAATATCCCCTCTTTCTCGTGGGGTAATTTCTCGGAATATTCGGGGCCGTTCTTGTATGTAAACGTTACCTCTCTAAGTACTGTGAAGAGTGTTGTGATGCTTATGAAAGTGCTAGAGTTGAATATTTTTTGTCGGATACATCGATGATTGTTAACCCGCGGGAAGTAAACATCTCCTAGCAAGTTGGGTCAAGTCAGATCCGAATAAGTAGTCGCTGAGAGTGGTGCGAAAACCCATACTGCCGTTAGGAAAAACGCCGTATGAACCTTAATTCGGGCGTTGCGAAATTTTCTTTGATAATTTACGAATTTATTGGGAAAGTTGTAAATATTTGTATTCCAATTTTGCAGAGAATTTTGTTCGCAATCTAATCTAAAATATCTGAAAATGTCAAGAAAAACTATGCGTGACTTTCTTCAAAAATAATTTTTTATCAGGGGAAATTTGGCGAAATTCGAATGTTCGTACGGCGGTTTTCC